CCACAATCTGACACATTCTTTGTCATAGATTGGGCATTGTTGGGAGATTGAGACTGTTCCGTTTCAAGTATTGAGGGTTGATGGGTTCTGCTAGATGGTTACCATATACGGTCCCAGTTAGTTTTGGTTAATGCATGGCTTGGTTTTGATGTTACTGTTCGACGGGAGGCGGTCGGGTCGGCTACGGAAAGTAGACTTTACCTACTTGTTTTTGAGGCATTGTTGAAGAGAAGGGTGTTGGTCAGAGTAAGGGACTGTGGGAGGGATCACGAAAATCGTCCCATTGGCTCACTGAAGAGAGGATTCAAGATTGTTTTAGAGATAGGGTGGTAGAAGGGCGAGGCTAGACGAAGATGGAGTAGTGTTGATGGAGGTAGTGTTATGAGAGTTTGGGCTATAAGGCTGTAAGGTATTTAATAAGGGAGGATGGGTGGTTGATGTTGGAGGTTGTGGGGTTAAGATTGTTGAAAGTTGGCATGTCTGGAGAGTGGAAATGTTCCTTGAGGGTTGATTGTTGGCTACTGTACTAGTAGGCATTGGTGAAGGGGTAGTTATTGCAGTGTTCGGAGCCGTGGTCAAAGGAGAGCCTGGGGTCGGGGAATCGGTGGGTTTACTTCTTTGGGGCTATTTGATAAAGGGGCAAGCCTCATTACCCCTAACAGTGGGGATATATTTTCATTACTGGCCATGGGAAGCCTGGATTATGTTGGGGATAAAAGCAGTCGACCCCTCAGGGTCCCCTTGAGGGGTAAGGGCTAGATAACTAAATCAGGGGAATACCGTGCCCATGGCTCCCTCAGGCCGTTCAGGACTGGCACAAAGTCAGCCTTTCATCCTTTCAGCACGGCTCTCACACCTTAGGAGGTGGATAGCAGAAGGGTTTTGGTGAAGGGACAGAAACAAAAGTGGGAAGGGAAAAAAAAGACCAAGCATAATTTGTTGAGTCGAGGGCTGAGTCCCAAGGTTGGGGAGTTCCCCATCATTGGGTCCCAGTCTCCGCCTCCTAAGCCCCCCCACGACAACAACGGGCAAGGGATTGGGGGGGCGTTGAATATGATAATGGCGGCATATATTGTCGACATTTTTTGTTGAAATATGGGGTATCGGGGTATCTGTCACGGTTGTATGACGTATGATATTCAATAAAATTGGGTAATTAGTTTTTTTTTCTTCTAATTTTAGTGTCCTCATATCTGTTGCATGTCATGATACTTATAGAATCTACGACTGCTATTGGTTTCATTTGTAAACACTGGCTAGAACAATGATTCTCTGCGGGGGACACTGTATAATGTAACCAAACTTTATCTGACCAGAATTCAGTATACCCATCTATCCCCTCTACGCGACTAGTGTGACCGTTGCTATACTTTGAGCGCCAACAGAAAATCTTACTAAGTTTGCAATCATTTGCCTCTTTTTGTGTTGGAAATTGAGGCATTTGTGTATTATTGCCGTGTAATGTTATACGTATTTGTGAGTAAGACTTTTACTTATGGCATAAAAAGTTCATCATAAAAGAGTTCATCGTCTGTCTCTCTCTTTCTCACTTGTAATTAGGTTAGTAGTTGCTGCAAGCATAATAATTTCTGATCTTTTTTTCCTTAATTCATTTTTTTGGCCAGTAATATGTGATGTAAGAGGTGATATGTTTCTTCAAAAGCACTTCCCCAAAATTATTATGTTTAACTGAAATTCTGTCACATCCTTCTCCTGCATTGTGGTGTTACTGTTGATAAGCACAGTAGTGAAGGGGTGTTGGGAGTGCATACACGCACACACATTAATATTTTTAAATATTACGCACATATCCTGTCAATGTTAATAAAAACATTCAAAATATATTATATATTCACTTCCAAAAGATACAATTTTATACAATTATATTTCTATTTGGTATATAAATCTTAAATATAAAAACAATGTAATCAAACAGCATAAACAAAACAACAACAGGTCAGAAATCCTTTTTCCAAGACAAATTTCCTCAAGAGATATTTAAACTTCATGTGTAAATGAATAATTGACATTCCAATACTAATGATTATTCTGCCTCCTTAATGATCTGTTCTACATATTCAAATGAATACAAGTTCAAAATTCATTAAAAATATATATTTATTTTGAACAAGTAACAATAAATGTGCTGTTTTAGTTAAACTCTTCTTTAATATGCAGCAGGCTTGTGGCATCATTATTCAGTTCACCAGATATTATGCTTGGAGCCTGATGAAAAACCCATTCACTCCCTTGATAATGAAGCTGTGAGTCAATGAATTCCTGCAATGAATAAAAGTGTTAAGTCAATACATCTCATTTGCTGTAAGTCCCCATAAAGAGGAGGAAGACTATGTGCCATGAACCTTTCAAGTAATTAAAAAAAAAAAAAAAAAAAAAAAAAAAAAAAAAAAAAAAAAAAAAAAAAAATATATATATATATATATATATATATATATATATATATATATAAATAAATAAATACATAAATAAATAAATATAGATTAAGTGGTAGGATCTGGGTCTGTTTTGTTTAATCAATTCCACTTGTTCAGATCTTTTTTTTTTTTTTACCCAAAACCAAATGAAATGCCAGTGTAGATGTAAGAAGGGGTTTCCACAATTGAAAATTAAATAATTCAACTTGAAAGATTTCTTTGAAAAGTTGTATATACAAAATAGAGGCAGTTTATAATTAAATCTATTAATTTTATATATTCTTCATAATTTTCAGCACTCACTTTAAGTATTAAAATATGAGTCAAAAGATAACATTTTGTCATTTTTAGGAAGAAATTAATGGAACTTACTTTTTCATGTTCTAAATAGTCACAATCTATGTCACTTGATAGGGTTTCTCCATCAGGTAAAAATACAGGAAGATCTTCCAGGAATGAGCTTTTGTCTTT